AGCCCTCCCCCTCCACCATGCTGTTTTACATAGCAGCTGCACCAGCACTGCACAAGGGTTCCAATTTCCCCACATCCCAGCCAACACTTGCTGTTTTGTTCATGTTTTGTAACAGTCATCCTAATCAGGGTGAGGTGGTATTTCATTGTGCCTTTGATGAAAGTATTTTTTAAAAAGATCAGCTGTTTATCCTGATTGAGGGAATCCTACATGAAGTTAATACCTAATTCTTAAACACCGCTGGTAAATTCTTAAGCATAAAACTTTCCTTTTTTAAAGATCTATGTTATTTATTTATTTATTTGTAAGGCAGAGGAACAGAGAGGCAGAGAGAGAGAGAGAGAGAGAGAGATATCTTCTATATGCTGCTTTACTCTCCAAATGACTGAAAAGCCAAATCTGGATCTGGCCGAAGCCAAGAACTAGGAACTCCATCCTGGTCTTCCACATGGTGACAGGGACCCACACACCCAGGGCCATTATGCATTGCCTTCCCAGGTACCTAAGCACAGAGCTTGCTGGGAAGTCATACCTGCCACTGGCACTCAGATATGGGATGTTGGCATCACAATCAGCAGCTTATCCTGCCAGTGCCATCACGATGGCCCCCCACAGAACTTTCTTTAAAAAAAAGAATTATTTTATTTATTTGAAAGTCAGAGTTACACAGAGAGAGAAGGAAAGACAGAGACAGAGACAGAGTCAGAGAGAGAGGTCTTCCATTCTGCTGGTTCACTCCCCAAATGACCACAATGGCCAGAGCGGAGCTGATCCAAAGCCAGGCACCAGGAGCTTCTTCCAGGTCTCCCATGCAGGTGCAGGGGCAAGCTGGGACTTGAACCTGCGCCCATATGGGATGGAAGCACTGCAGGCTGGGGCTTTAACCCACAGTGCCGGCCCTCCCACAGAACTTTCTTAATCCTGTTTCCAGGAAGTCTAACCCAGAGAGTCACCCTGCCCCCTAGACCAGTGAAGCCTGACTCCTCACCTATCTCACCAGTGCACCACTGGAGCCAAGGCTCAGGAATACTAGTCTAACTGGCTGTCCACAAATGCCTTCACACTCAGCGATTACTTGTTTCTCTTCTCTAACCCCTGCTTCAACGGAGCTTTTACACCACACACACAGTGCAGTCTGAGGTACATCTGGGCTCTGCACCTGCCGATTCAATCAACTTTAGATGGAAAATATTCAGAAAGAAATTGTGTTTGTACTGAAAATATAAGTACTTTTCTTATCATTATCCCCTAAATTATATGAGACATAACAGCTATTTACACAGCATTTATTGGGTATTAGGAGTCATCTCGAGATGATGTACACCATAACGAAGGATGTGTGCAGATTCTATGCAAACACTGTGTCATTTCACATAAAGGACTTAAGCACTCAACAGGTGAATGTCCTGGAACCCACTTCCCCCAGACATGGAGGGTGGCTGACTGAGAATGACCTGGACCCAGCTGGCTCCTTGCCCAGTTCCCCTCACATGTCATGTGAAGGCACAGTGAGGAATCCAGGCAGTGCCATTCTGGGACTGTGTTGTACAGAGAAGTTCCTGGGCTACCAGGAGCTGCACTTGCTGACTCCTCGGGAAGGTACTTTAAGGGAAGAGTGAAAGCTGGCCACAGAGAAAGTCATGCCCCAAACTTCCCAACAGGAGGACTCTCACCAGAATGTGGCTGCCCTGCGCAGAGGTGCTCTAGGAATGCTGCCCCTGTCAATGTTTTTACTGTTGAAACTTTCAGTAAGACACAGCTTGTGAGAGCACTGGAAACAGCCGGATCAGGTCTCCCTTCACACAAGAACTTGACTCTCCGGTTTTTATCTACCTCCTTTCTCTTCCCTCCTCCCTTTCAGTCATTACATGGTGCCAACTCTGCTGCTTATTAGCATGCATGGAAGAAGGTTCTAAGGCGAGTAGGTCCTAAAGTCACTGTGTCCCCAACACCTGCAATGATGCCTGACATAGGAGTCACATAAATATCCATTCAATAAGTCAAAAGTAGCCTTTTTGAAACAAGACTACCCTTGAGTAACCCATCACAGCTGAATCAGCAACAGTGGGTTGGGACTGCGAAAATATGAAATTAATGCAAAGACATAAATAACAGCACCCATTATGTTTGTTTGTTTAAAGTTGGATCTGCAACTGGAAACCATTATACTTACTGAAATATGCCAATCCCAAAAAGACAGATACCATATGCTTCCCCTGATCTCTGGTAACTAACAGAGTACCTAAAGTGTAATCTACAGGAGTGAAATTGACATTTTGAGATTTGATGACTGTTTACAGCCCCTGTCTCAACTGTTGAGGAACAGTTCTTTTTTTCTTCATGCTATTTGTTGAACTCTTTACTTAGTATAGGATTAGTCTCATGGGTATACAGTTAAAATAGATCTTTGTGTAAAAATTAAGAATGGGTGGAATAGCAGGGTAAAGCTGCCACCTGCAGTGCTGGCAATACGTATGGGCAGCGGTTGAAGTCCTGGCTGATCCACTTCCAATCTAGCTCTCTGCTATGGCCTGGGAAAACAGTAGAAGATGGCCCAAATCTTTGGGTCCCTGCACCCACGTGCAAGACCTGGAAGAAGCTCTTGGCTTTAGATTGGCTCAGCTCTGGCCATTGCAGCCATTTGGGGGAGTGAACCAGCAGATGCAAGACCTCTCTCTGCCTCTGCCTCTCTGTAACTTTGCCTTTCAAATAAATAAATAAATCTTTAAGAAAAACTTTAAAAAAATGAATTGGAAAGGGAGGAGGAAGGGAGGGAGCATGGGTGGGAGGGAGGGTAGAGTAGGAAGTATTACTATCTGTATATAGGAAATACATGGAATTTGTATACCTTAAATAAAGTTCAAAAAAAAAAAAAAGAGACGGCCGGCGCCGTGGCTCAATAGGCTAATCCTCCACCTTGCGGCGCCGGCACACCGGGTTCTAGTCCCGGTTGGGGCGCCGGATTCTGTCCCGGTTGCCCCTCTTCCAGGCCAGCCCTCTGCTGTGGCCAGGGAGTGCAGTGGAGGATGGCCCAGGTGCTTGGGCCCTGCACCCCATGGGAGACCAGGAAAAGCACCTGGCTCCTGGCTCCTGCCAGGATCAGCGCGGTGCGCCGGCTGCAGCGGCGGCCATTGGAGGGTGAACCAACGGCAAAAGGAAGACCTTTCTCTCTCTGTCTCTCTCTCTCACTGTCCACTCTGCCTGTCAAAAACAACAACAACACAAAAAACATAACAGAGAGAGATATCTGTTATTTCTCATTCATCCACACAGACAGAGTTGAAATAACACATTTAGGTTTAGTTTAGTTTAATTAAGACCTATACTCAGATCTCCTTTGCTTTCCCCTGACATCTTACATTTGGTGGTCCTGTGTCCTTAAGCTCCTGGCTGCCATGAGTTTCTTTGATTTCATGGCCTTGATCAGAAGAGCGGTCAGGTAGTTCTTCAGATGTCCCTGAATTCAGCTTGAATGAAGTTTCTCTTGTGGTTACCCAGGCATTGTGGGATTTGGGAGGATGCCCACAGAGGTCACACTGTCCTATCCAGGGCACACACATCTACTTCTGAGTAACAGCAAAGCCCTCTCCCATCTCTGAGGCCCGTCACACCGAGCAGCATTTTCTGAAGACAGTGTAGCTGCTAGATCAGTGTTTGTTAGCTAAGGGATGCACACCTCTGCATCCTTGGGAAATCATACCTGGTTACATTTAGACTTTTTGTGAAGAGAGCAGTGCTGTGTTGCCTCGAGGCTGAATTCTTTTTTTAAAAAAAAATATTTTACTTGAAAGGCAGAGTTACAGAGAGGCAGAGAGAAAGATTGGAAGTGGAGCATCCGGGATTTGAACCGTTGTCCACATGGGATGCCGGCACTGCAGGCTGGCGGCTTTGCCCGCTATGCCATAGCTGAAGGAACCAGCTCAGGTGAAATTGGGTGTTGACTCCTAATCCGAGCACTCAAAGTTTTACCTGCACAATGGAGTCTGAACTAGTCCATAAGCTTCCTTCCTCTCAGGCTCCCTGACCTACCTACCGGTCAGGTCCTCTCCAGAGGGCTCCTAAGACCAGTCCCATACTTTCTCGGCCCCTCCGATAGCCACGCTTATTTCCCATTTCAAGGCGTGCTGTTTCCTGCAGCTGGGCAAACTGCCCCAAGACCCCCAGCACAGCTCAGACACCAGCAAAGAAGGTCCCCTAGCTTGGCACTGCATCCAAGGAGTGGTGTTCGGTGGCCTATCCACTCGGGAATACTCGGTGGGCTCCATTTAGGGTTTGGTTTTCATTTCCCTTGTGTGTCCTGCACATTGAGGGTCACTGTGTTCAGGTGGCTCAATCAAGGACCCCGAAAGCTGAAGCCAAGGCAAAGCACAGACCTGCGCTCCAAGCCAAGAGGCAGCGCCTCCCAGGCCCGCCGCATGGTTCCCACCGCTGCACCTGCCTGGCCACTGCAGGGAGCTCGCAAGCAGCAGGTCTGTCTCTCCCAAGCGCAACCCAGGGCCGCGGGCCCCGGTAAAAGCAGGAGGCCCCCGTCCCCGACCGCTTCCGACACACTGAAAACTGGCAGGTACCCCAGCAGCCGGCCAGCGCGGGCCCCGCCCCGAGCACAGGTCGCTGGACTGCAGAGAGCGAATGAGCAGATAAGTCGGCTGGAAAAGCACTGAAAAACTGAACAAGGCCTCTTCTGCCGTTGGGAAGGGGGGAAAGCGGCGGCGCCGGCCACGCTACGAACGCTCTAGACGCACCGGGATGCCGGGGCCGCGGCTGCAGCTGCGGAGCCGGCTCCGCGGCGCCTTGGGCGTGTGCTGGGCCCCGCAGGTACCAGCGCGTCAGGTGGGCGCCCGGCCTCCGGCCCGCGAGCCCGCCCCTCCGAGGTGCGCCCCGAGCCGGTGCCCGGCTGCGAGCCGTGACCCACGCGCCCCCCGAGTCCGCGGCCGCTCCCAGACACCCGCGCCGGGCGGCACACCCCGCGACCCCGAGCGCGGCCCGCGGCCAGCCCCTACCTCGCCGCTTGGCCCGTACGATGCCCTTCTTCTGCAGCACGAACGTGGACCCGTTCACCAGGCTCGACACCACGGCCACGCCCAGGCCGAGCGACACGGCGGCGGGGCTCGGGCTGCGCGCCCCCTCCCCTGCCGCCGCCGCTGCCGCCGCTGCAGTCCCCATTCCGCCCGCGCCCGCCCTCCGTGCCTGCGCCTGCGCGCCGCGCCCGACGGGGCGGGGGAGGGGGACGCCAGGCCCGCAGGGGTGGCGGGGCGAGGCGCGACCTCGGGGGACGGCCGGGGGCGTCTGCGGGCAGGGTCGGGTGCGGCCCCCGGGGCTGGGCAGCCGGGCGCACTGCGGGCCGAGGTGGCGTGAGATGCGGCGGGGCAGCTCCGGGCGCCGCAGGGTCCGGGCTGCTCCGGGGGCAAGGCGAAGGTCAGGCGGGAGACGGGGACGGGGGCTCCTGGAGCGGACCGCGGAGCAATGGAGCCTGGGGCTCCGGGTAGGACGAGGCGAGTGCTTAGGGAGGAGGGCGGTAGGTGGGTGGGGAGGTAGGGCTCCAGATTTAGCAAATAAAAATCCAGGATGCCCCGTTAAGTTTGGCATCTCAAATAAACAGTGGCTACGAGCTGGGAGAGCGCACGCAGCGGGACGCAGCCCTGGCCGGGATCAGGTGCTGCAGAAGCTGCCGCGAGCCGGAGGCGGACGGGGACCCCGAAATTTAAACCGAGTCGGCGGGGGAACCGCGAGCGCGGTGAATTCCCTCCCGCGCCCTTCTTCCGTCTGTGGGGCAGCGAGCTGGCGGTCGCACCGTCTCGTTTCCACGTTTTAATTTTTAAACAACTGTACCAAAATTATAGAAAGCCTAAAAAAATACAAAACAATGATCTTGAGGTCAGTCCCACCTCACCTAATTGTTGTCTGGGGTATTTTCCCACAAGCATACTTAACTTTCACATGTTTCCAAATACGATACACAACGTTTCCTTTTTACTTATCACAGTCAGCTTCCATGTTGCTACATAATTATGATTATTTTAGTGACAGTGTAATTACCATAATTTGGCCATGCAGCTATTGTTGGTTGTTAGGTTGCTACCACTTTCTTGCTACAACAGTGGTGTTACAATGTACATCTTGTAAGTGTTGAAAATACTAAAGAGTATTTTTTGCAATATATATATACAGCGTTATTTTGTGAAGCAATATAAAAAATCATATAATATTTCTGTAAGAAAGATTCATGCTGAATGCATGTACTGCTTTTTTATGGCAACATATATATGACATAAAAGTTGCCGCTTAACTTTTTCAAACATGCGATTCAGTGGTTACAGTTACATTCACAATGACCTACAAAAGTCAATGGCTATCTAGTTGCAAAATTTTGCAATTCCCTGAACAGAACATCTGTAGTCATTGACCACTCTTCATTTCCCCCTCCCCCTAAGAGGCATTAGAATCTACTTTCTCTCTGTATAATTTGCCTATTCTAGATATTACATATAAGTGAACCATACAATAATCAATCTTCTGTAACTAGTGTGTTTCACTTAGCAAAATATTTGCATAGGTCCTCCATGCTATGGAATGTCTCAGAACTTCATTCCTTTTTTTTTTTTTTTTTTTTTTTTTTTGACAGGCGGAGTTAGACAGTGAGAGAGAGAGACAGACAGAGAGAAAGGTCTTCCTTTTCCATTGGTTCACCCCCCAAATGGCTGCTATGGCCGATGCGCTGTGCTGATCCGAAGCCAGGAGCCAGGCGCTTCCTCCTGGTCTCCCATGTGGGTGCAGGGTCCAAGCACTTGGGCCATCCTCCACTGCCTTCCTGGGCCACAGCAGAGAGCTGGACTGGAAGAGGAGCAACGGGACAGAATCCAGTGCCCCAACTAGGACTAGAACCCCGGGGTGCTGGCGCCACAGGCGGAGGACTAGCCAAGTGAGCCGCGGCCGCCGCAGCGCTAGCCAAAACTTCATTCCTTTTTATGGTTGAGTAATATTCCACCACTTGTGCATGCAACATTTTGTTTATTCATTCATTTGTTAATGGACACTTGAGTTGTTTACAGCTTTTGGCTACTGTGAATAATGTAATGAATATTGGTGAGAAAGTATCCATTTGAGTCCTGATTTAAATTCTTTGAGGTATATACATAGAAGTGGAATTGCTGAGTCATATGATAATTCCACGTTTAGCTTTTTGAGGAAGTGCCAAACTTCCACAGCAGCTGCATCATTTTACATCCCCACCAGCAATGGTGAGAGTTCCAGTTTCCCCATGTTTTGACTAGCACTGACACATGCTATTTTCTAGTTGTCTTGCTTTTTTAATAACCATCCTTGTCGGTATAAAGTGTTTGCTTATTCTTTGTAGACATACTTTTTTTAAACATATAATTCAATATCATTTCTATGCTCTTTTTAAAATTTGCACCCAAATAAATTTATCTTTTAATTTCATTTTCCATGAATTTTTTTTTTAATTTAGTTGAAAGGCAGAGTTATAGAAAGGGGATATACAGAGAGAGAAATCTTCCATTTGCTGGTTCACTCCCCCAAACAGCTGCAATGGCCAAGGCTGGGCCAGGCTGGAACCAGGAACCAGGAGCCAGGAACTTCTTCCAGGTCTCCTACATGAGTACAGAGGCCCAGAAAATTGGACCATCCTGTGCTGTTTTCCCAGGCACCTTAGCAGGGAGCTGGATTGGAAGTGGAGCAGCTGAAACCTGAACTGGTGCCCATATGGAATGCCCGCATCGAAGGTGGCAGCTTAACCCATTACGCCACAATGCAGGTCCTATAGATATATTTTTCAACATAAATGATGATGTTTTCTAAAATAAGCAATAACTTTTATTGTTAATCTCAGCAGAAGCAAGCAAATGAAAGCAGCAGCAACAGTGGTGCCAACATAATCAAAACTATTTAATTTAGAAATACTGCCAACATAGAAAAATGACTTCAGTGCTTTTGGCTAAAGGATGCTTGTCCAACAAAAAATAAATCTAGTAAATATCAAATTTCATCACCTCAAAATTACTATTATTACCATTAAGAAATCCACTCCAGATATTTTTCCATGGCAATGTATGGTGAAAAGGATAGACAGACATATTTAGCCAAATGGAAATGTGACAGGGACCCTCTCAAAGTGAAAAAAAAAAAATGAAAAATTAAGCTTTAAAGAGAAACTGGCTGGGGTATATAGGAGGGACTTTCCAAAAATGAGGGGGCAAAGAGAACTTTCCAAGAAAAGCCATGTCACCACAACCTAAACAATTTTAGTACACACTTGTGTAGCAATGTATCAATTATGTAAGTAGTGCTTTAGCTCTAAATATCCAATCAAAATATATATAAACAAACAGGTAAAGGGAAACACAGTTTTTTGGGCCAGGGTGTATAAGACAACACTGTGTTTTGTTTGGGGCTGGGACTCTGGATAGAAATCCCTGGGTCTGTCACTATAGGGAATAAAATCTGCTTCATGCTGAAGGCCATGGTATCCCACTTCTCTGTCCAAGACTCTCACTACAGGAAGGCACATGTGCTGTCTAAAAAGATGAAACTGGGGGAGTCATTGTGGAGCAGATTTGGTGCCCACATCCCATGTCAGCGAACCTGGTTTGAGTCTGGACTACACCTCACTTTCAATCCAGTTTCCTGCTAACATGCCTGGGAGGTGCACTGGATGGCCTAAATCAATATGCACATTTAATTCTTCCTGGAGGCACTGTGCTTAGAAGCCACAGCAAGGGGATCCGGTCTCATTAAGTGCTGTTGAGGGTCCCTAGGGGTGGACCTTAATGTTTTAGGATCAGGAAAGAACTAAATCCATTAAATGATTTTGTGGGGTTGTGAGAGGCGGCAACCTCCCTCCATCCAAAAATCTCCCAGTATTGCTGCAGAGAGAACTATCTAGAAACAATATCTGGGGCCGGCGCTGTGGCACAGCAGTGCAGCAGGTAAAGCTACCACCTGCGGTGCCGGCATCCCATATGGGTGCCAGTTCAAGACCCGGCAGCTCCACTTCAGATCCAGCTCTCTGCTATGGCCTGGGAATGCAGTAGAAGATGGCCCATCTCCTTGGGCCCCAACACCTGCGAGGGAGACCCAGAAGAAGCTCTTGGCTCCTGGCTTCGGATCAGCCCAGCTCTGGCTATTGTGGCCATTTGGGGAATGAATCAGCGGATGAAAGACCTTTTTCTCTCTCTCTGCATCTCTGCAACTCTCTGCTTTTTGAATAAATAAATCTTAAAAAAAAAAAAAAAGAAAAATTCCTTTGTGGGAGTGAAATTTAAATGCTTTTGATTTTGCAAAACTTAGGGATTTTTTGTTTGTTTGTTTTCAAATTTGGTTTATTGTGAAATGTGACACACATGGAAGAGTACCTGAAACAAATTTACAGGGTAAGAAATTGATACAAAGTCAGTTCCCAGGAAATGACATTCCAGGCCAAAAAGTAGTGTTGGCAGCTCCCGCACCTGCCCACTCCTTCCTCCTCCCATCGTTTAGAAAAAATTATTTCCTCATTTACCTTTTTTTTTTTTTTTTTTTTTTTTTTTGACAGGCAGAGTGGACAGTGAGAGAGCGAGACAGAGAGAAAGGTCTTCCTTTGCCGTTGGTTCACCCTCCAATGGCCGCCGCGGCCGGCGCGCTGCGGCCGGCGCACCACGCTGATCCGAAGCCAGGAGCCAGGTGCTTCTCCTGGTCTCCCAGGCGGGTGCAGGGCCCAAGCACTTGGGCCATCCTCTACTGCGCTCCCTGGCCACAGCAGAGAGCTGGCCTGGAAGAGGGGCAACCGGGACAGAATCCGGCGCCCCGACCGGGACTAGAACCCAATGTGCCGGTGCCGCTAGGTGGAGGATTAGCCTATTGAGCCATGGTGCCAGCCATCCCCATTTATCCTTAGAGTTTTATAGCCAAAATGTAGCACAGGGGGCTGCAAATTACAGCCTGTGGACCTACTCTGGCACCCAGCCTTTTCAAAAATAACATTTTAATATCCCCACACTTTCTTCTTTATGTACTGTCTGTGGCAACTTGAATGCTACAGAGTGGAGTAGTTGCTACATCAACTGGTCCTTCTGCTGAACCTGAAGTATAATCTGATCTGACCCTTTTCGGAAAACATTTGCTGCCCCCTGGTGTCCTGTGTGATTGTAATTCTCAAATGGGAGTTTGCTGCCCCCTGGTGTAGCATGTGCTTCCCAGCTGCTGAGAGAACTGGTCACTCCAGATCAGGGAAGCTCACTTCTCTGGGGACTTCTCACAGATGTGTAGGAAAACCCTACCCAGAGAGTTCCTTTGTGTAGCTCAGTAATGGTATTATAAATAGAATTTGCTTTCAGTTTCATTTTTGAATCGTAGATATATAGTGATCAGAAATACATTTTTTCTTTTTAAAAGATTTATTTTATTTATTTGAAAGAGTTATAGAGAGAGCTAGAGACAGAGAGGTCTTCCATCTGCTGGTTCACTCCCCAAATGGCTGCAATGGCTGAAGCTGAGCCAATGGGAAGCCAGGAATCAGGAGTTTCTTCCAGGTCTCCCTTGTGGGTGCAGAGTTTGTCAAGCACTTTGGCCATATTCTACTGCTTTCCCAGGCACATTAGCAAGGA